AAGTTTGGTGAAATCTTCTCCAAATCACTTTTGTGTATTCTCTGCCTTGAAGAAATCATTTAAAAAGACATAATTATTGTTATAGTTATTGTTATGTGGGGTGGGAATTTAAGTGAGCTAGTAAGCATCTTGCCAAATCTGTGTAGTACGTCNTGTATTCTCTGCCTTGAAGAAATCATTTAAAAAGACATAATTATTGTTATTGTTATGTGGGGTGGGAATTTAAGTGAGCTAATAAGCATCTTGCCAAATCTGTGTAGTACGTCTGAGATAAACTATTGGGTCATATACATATAAAAGGTGAGTTTTGAGTACTGACTAGGTAAGGTCTAGTCTCAATGAGACGGGCCAGGTAAATGGGCTTGTCCGCACAGCAGGGAGGGGTGCTTTTTCAGTCCTCCCAGTCTTTTGAGGTAACACTTTGTAGTAAGAAGATTGACCTATGAGAAAAATAATTCTAAAAATGGAAAAAAATATGTCCAGTGAGTACATACATGGGCAACCAGGCCCAGTGACTTCACTGGCCATTTTGGCTCAGTACCATTAGGTCAGTTTATCTTTTGGAAACATCCTATTTCTGAATACTTCAGATTCCAAGAGTACCTTTGTTGAGAAATTATTTTTCCCCTTAGTTAATAACAAGGTAAGCTGCTGAGATCTTGTATTCTTTTGAACTGCAATCCTATTAAAGTTCAAAGGTTTTTATTCAGGTTTTACCAAGAACAGTTTAATTTGGAAAAACTTTATTCACATAAACCTTTCAGCCTCACAGCTTTATTCAAGACCAAATTTACAGCCTTGGGCATACCATTAACTCTTACCAATTTACAAATATAGATAATTATTCCTGATTTTTTTTCTCAAAGATGGATAATCTTGGAGATTTCTAGTTTTCCCACTTATACAAAAAGTGTAAAACAACAAGTGAGCAAGCTTTCACTGTGTCTGGGTCAAATGAAGCTACACTTTCTAGACCTTTCCCACACTGCTTTCCTGAGTAGAGTGATGAGAGGCAGTCTATTTGCCTATTGTGTTGTTTACTTTTTTTTTTTTAACGTGATATAAATCTGCTATTCTATACTTCTGGGAATTTTGTTTTTGTCAATAGTCAGATGCTGACTGATTCAGAAAAAAGGAACAAGAGAGTAAGAAATACAATGTAAACATCAGGGCTAAATGGAAGAGATAACTCAGACCCTTTCTTTAAAGTAGGAAAATACCTTTTATTTTTAATGACATTTGTTGAGTAGTCATGTGCTAGATTCATTATATAAGTACATTATCTTATTTAATCCACATTTTTCTGAGAGGTTGAAATAATAACTTTCTTCCTTCATTTTACACAAGACCCCAAAAGATTAAACAGTTTACTTTTAGCCATATGCCCAGTAAATAGCAAAGTCAGGATTTGAATCAGATTTGATTCTAAAGCTCTTCTTATTGTACAAGCTGCTAATTTAGGCGTAAGAGTTAGAAAACTCTTAGGATTCACTCTGTAGCTTTCTGATGAGTTGGCATTAACTTTCTTGGCTCTTTGCTTTCTTTTTCTCTACAATGAGAGGATTGAGCTGGATCTTTAAAGTTCTGATTGTAAAATTTTGTGATTCTTAGGTTCTTGATTGAATTGAAGTGGAGAGTATATGGAGCTTCTACTAGTTCTCTTGTGTGCAGCCAGTTTGGTCTGTAATTAATACTTTTAGCTTGATTTTTCCCACCATTGCCCAGTGGAGGTGGGAAAAGCGGGAGGTTGGGTTAAAAGAAGGTACAGTGTATCAACTGCAGATTTGTGAAAGAAAAATTAAAGTACCTGAGCATCAAGGAGCATGACAAGCATGGACTGGAGATTATGTGGGTAGCACCCGGTAACAGTGTCTTTAAACAAAAACGCCATTTAATCTCAAAGGGTTATTGTAGCTGAGTGTGTGTGTCTGTCCCAAGGACTGGGGATTGTGCTAGATGGTACAATGATGATTCAGTTTCAGTTCTTTTAGGCCCTTATAACATTTCCAATTAAATGGTAGAGAGATGTTATAGGAGGGACACAATGATTATTGACATTGCAGAGCTAATGAGATGACATGACATAAAAAAGAAGCATCATTATTGCAGTATTTTTATTTCATTTATATAGTACCTTTTTTTCCCGAAGGTGCTATACAAATAACGTTGAGATAATAAGCCATTTAAATATGTCAAAACACTGAAGAATAAGAATGGCTAAGAGAAAAAACAGAAAAGAAGCAGTAGAGGTTTTAGATCACTGATGGGCACAGCAGGGTAGTGATTCTTCCGCACTCATCTTTGCTGCTGTAAATGGTGGAGGCTTGACATGGAGGCCTTTTCCTTGACCAGTCTACATCCTGTGATTGAAGACCATGGGATTTGGTGTCAGATGGACCTGAATTTAAATTCTGATCCTACTACTTACTGTTAATTTGGAATAAATTACCTAAACTTTCTGAGCCACAGTTTCTTCAATAAAGTGGTGTTAATTATACCTCGCTTGTTAGGGTTATCTCTAGGATTAAAGTAAATGAGTTATATACCTAAAACATTTAGTTTAGTGCCTGGCCACATGGTAAATGCTAGCTGTTCTGATACTCAGAATATCTCGAAACAGTAGTTCTGATAAGGTTATAGAGCATAATAGCAGCTTCTCTGGTTCCAATGATAAAGCAATGTGGAGTTGTCAGGATCTCCTATTTCTTCTCTGCATTGTCATAGTAAAATAGAATCTGTACTTTATAGCCTAGCATTAGATTTTTAAAATGAAACATAGATTATTTACATAATAATTTTAACCTACCACCAGCTTTAAGAAGTAAAAAATTAGAGATAGATTTGAAGTCCCCTCTTCTCCCTCCCCCCAATAACCACTATCCTGAATTTGTATCATTTCCATGCATGTTTTTATATTGTCATTATTTATCCATAAACAATATATGGTATTTTTACATATTTTTAAATTTTATGTAAGTATTATTAGACTATATATATCCTTCTGTAGCTTGCTTTTCTCTCTGCATTGCTTTTCAGATTTTTCTATTACATTTGTAGCTTTATTATTTTAACTGCCACAGAGTGCTCCATTACATGCTTGAATATACCATTTTAATTCATTCTCTGTGGAATTCCTGTAATTTTAAATATTTCTGTGATATTTCTTGAATATCTCTTACCTTCATCCCCCTTCCTCAGCCTAAGAGGTAACCATTGTCCTGAACTGTGTTAATATTTTTTTAGTGGTTTAAACATACACATTCCTAAACAATGTATTGTTTTACCTATTTTTAAGGTGTAAGTACAATCTTACTATGTTATTTAGTGACTTGCTTTTTTTTGCCAGTGTTATGATTTTGAGATTCATGTTGATGCATTTGGCAATAGTTACTCATTCTCACTATGTACATTATTCCATTATTTGAATATATTATAATATATGAACCTTTAGGTTGTTTGTATCTGACTTTTTACTGTTATGTTCGGTATATAAGTAAGATGTACATATGTGTTCAGTTTCTCTCCGGGATATACCTAGGAATGAAATGACTGTGGTATAGTTAATGTATGTGCATCTTTATTGTTACTGGATATTGATAAGTAGTAATTTAATGATAAGTATTTTCTAATTTCTGATTTGAACCATAAGTTTAAAGTGTATTTTTAAAATTTCCAAATATATAGACTTTTTTAACTTAATTGTTCTCTGATCAGCTAGCTAATCATGTCTGTGTTGTACTAATTCTTTGACATCTGTTGAGACTTTTGTTTTATGACCTAATGTGTATGATCATAGTTTAGCCAGGTTTTAGTTTTTATAAATATTCTGCATGTGTTTGAAAATAATTTAGTATCTAATTGTAGGGTGCATGAATCCAGGGTGGGGCAAAAGTAAGTTTACAGTTATATGTGAAACACAGTTTATTCTTGTATTATTATTTATTACTGTATTTTCCATATGAACAACTGTAAACCTCCTTTGCCCCACCCTGTATATGCTTATTAATTTTAACTAACTTTACTAGGCATTTTGTCTGAGACAAGTATATAAAAATCTTCCTATTATGTTAGTAAATTTATCAGTTTCCCATAAATGCAATCATTTTTGCTTTTGAGGTTTTGTTATTTATTAGGTGCATACAGGTTCAGAATTGTTTTATCTTCCTGGTAAATTTTTTTTTTTTACTGTTCTATAATAATTCTCTTTATCCCTAATAATGCTCTTTGTCTTATAAAGTCTACATTTTCTGATAATACTCTAGCTATTACTGGCTTTTTAATTGTGTATTTGCTGGTATATTTTTATGTACTTTAAAATTTTCTATATACTCATATTTATGTTTTTAGTATGTCTCTTGTAAACTGCAAGGCGCAAGACTTTGTTTATTCATTCTGACCATTCTGTCTTTTACCTGTTTAATCTGTTTACATTTATTACCATTACTGGTATGTATGTACTTATTTCTACCATTTTATTACATGTTTTCTATTTACTCTACTTTGTTTTCTGCAGTTTTCTCTTTTTACCTATCTTCTGTTTGAGCAACTTTTCTGGATTTTTTTCTTTCTATTGATCCCTAAAATTTTAACATGCATTTTGTGTACAAAGTCTGTACATTAAACTCAGCATTCTACCATTCTTCTAAACAATACAAGGACCTTGGAAAGCTTTCACTCTAGTTATCCTCTACCAATTTTATATGTTTTTGACCAGTATTTTACTTCTATTTTTTTAATTGATTTTAGAGAGAGGAAGGAAGAGAGAGAGAGACTTGCCCCAACTGGGGATCAAACCTACCATCTCTTGGTGTATAGGGTGATGCTCCAACCAGATAAGCCACACTGGGCAGGGCACTTACATTTTTTTTTAATCACCCAAATTAGTCTTTATTATTGTTTCTATTACATTTCATTTTTATGCTCATTTTTATTATTTTCTGATGCCCAAGGAGATTGTGAACTCCTTCATTAAACTGGTTTTCTCACCTTTTTCTCTTCAGATTTTCAAAAGAAACAACCAGACGATGATTCCGCTCCAAGTACAAGTAACAGCCAATCAGATTTGTTTTCCGAAGAGACCACCAGTGACAACAATAATACCTCGATAACCACGCCAACTCTTAGTCCCAGCCAGCAGCCGCTTCCGACAGAACTGAATGTAACTTCACCAAGTAAAGAGGAGTGTAAGTGCCTAGATCCTGTGAAATGTAGAGAAAGCAGCCCAAGAATACTATCATGAGTTTCTTGGTAATGCCTCATCCCAGACAAAAGATAGTAGCTTTGTAAATTCAAGATTAAGTTTGACATATAGGCCAAAGTCAGCAAATTAGAGAATAAGTTTCATCCATTCCATAGAGTTTAAGTTGATCTTAAAAGAAAGCCTTTTTTTTTGAAAGTATTACAGATATTCCCTTTTTTCCCCCATGATCCCCTCCACTCCACATCTGCCCCCCGCCCCAGGCCTTCACCACACTTTTGTCTATGTCCATGGGTCATACATATATGCATATAAGTTCTTTGATTAATCTCTCCCCCTCCAACCCCCACAACCTGCCCACTGAGATTCATCAGTCTATTCCATGCTTCTGTGTGTCTGGATCAATTTTGTTCCTCAGTCTATTTTGTTTATTAGATTCCACATATGAGTGAGATTGTGTAAAACTGAATCAAGAAGAATCAGAAAACCTGAATAGGCCAATAAAAAAAACTCCCAGCTTATGATAACTGTCAAGGGTACACACAATTTTGAACCAGTCTAGGCCAATGGTTCTCAGCCCTGGCTGCAAATTAGAATCCACTGGGAATTTTTAAAACAACTTTTAATATTCAGCAATATTCCTTAAGTCTGATTTAATTGCTCTGGGAGGAGGCCCAGTAATCTGTTCTTTTTAACTCTACGGAAGATTCTAAAGTGCAGGAAGTGTTGAGAATCACCCAGTCTAGAGAACTTGCCCCTGATTTAGGAACCTTGGATTGAAACCTTACTTCTGTCACTGACTGGTCCTTGAATGTTCCTGGGCAATTAACTGAGATAATAACACTGTGTAGTTCATAGAACATAGGTATTTGAAGGGGGGAGGAGATGGTTTCTGTTACTCTTCTGTAAGTCCTTAGTGATAAGGTACCATTACCATAATGTGATTTGGAAACCCATTGTCCACCTAATATTTATAATGCTATAATGTTCTTCTTTAGGGCACAACTATAACTGACAGTGTGTTGAAAATTATAGGAATGTTATGACATAGCAGTTTTTACCTTTTAAAAGCTTTAGTTAACAGATAGAAATTCGGTATTTCAAATTCAGTGAATATCTAGAAATCTTTGGGATGTTCCATCTACTAACTTTGAAAAGATTATGAGATGCCTGGCTGGGCATGGCTCAGTGGTTGAGCATCTACCTAGGATCAAGGAGATCTCAGTGCGATTCCCAGTCAGGGCACATTCCCCTGTTATGGGTTTACACCGATCAATGATGACTTTCTTATCATTGATGTTTCAACTCTCTCTCCCCCTCTCCCTCTCCCTTTGTCTCTCTGAAATCAATAAAGATATATTTTTTAAAAAAAGATTACTAGAGAACGAATATTTATCTAAACTTATCATAAACCATGGTACTAGGTAAAATTGTGAATATAAAAGTAAAGAAAGCCATAGTCCCTGTCTTCAAAGAATTTACTGTTTAGCGGGGGGAAGTAAACATATTTGTTAAAGACAGTAACTGTTAAAGAAGAGTATTAGTTTATTGGAGAAAGTGATTTTGAAGACATTCTTAGAGTAGAGTGAGATACNAACTGTTAAAGAAGAGTATTAGTTTACTGGAGAAAGTGATTTTGAAGACATTCTTAGAGGAGAGTGAGATATGGAGGAAAGCTGCATGAGTTCTGCAATGCCAGGTGACTCCTTTAGGGCCATTGATGGAGGACAAGGTTGGAAAGGTAGATTATGGCCCAGTTATAGAGGCTTGAATGCTCAGCTAAGATATTGGTGTTGGACAGTACTTTTTTGAGCAGAGAAAGTAATATTACAGTTATTTTGGAGAAATAACCTGGCAGTATTGAAAATGGGGAAGGATTATACTAGAATAAAATTGCAGAGAGAGACTTTTTTTTTAAAAGTTAAGTTTTATTTTTATTTATTTTTAATCACTCGAGGATATTTTTTCCCATTGCTTTTTCAGAGAAAGTGGAAGGGAGAGAGAGAGAAACATCGATTGGTTGCCTTCCACACGTGCCTTCCCCCCAACAGGTGCTGGGGATGGAGCCTGCAACCGAGGTACATGCCCCTGGCCGGAATCGAACCGAGGACCCTTCAGTCTGTGAGCTGATGCTCTAACCACTGAGAAACCAGCTAGGGCAGAGAGAGACTTTTTAAAATACTGTAACTTTTTCATTTAGAGACTCAGGGGAAGGTGTAGAAGTCATTTAGGAAGAGGAAAAAGATGGAAATGGTAGTGGTAATGTTAAAGCAGTAGGTTTTGTTTTGTTTTCAAAAATCTATTTGGTCATGTACTTATTGAGGAGCTGATGAAAACTGTTGCCTGTTGTCTCAGAAAGATACACACCATTCTTTTATACACAATTTTGAATAAAATTTTTCTAAAGCTCACTATGGCCATTAGATTAAGAACTCTTGTCTGGGAGAAGGTTGGAGCTGGTCAGGATCTCATCTGATGGGAATTATCTGATTGTACCCACACACACACCATGGTCAGGCCACAACAAACCAACTTCAGCAGCCAAAATGCATGTGAGACTGAGATAACAATAGCTACCATTTATTGAGCACTTTATGTACAAGACATTGTACTGTGTGTTCTGCATATTTTCCCTCTCATTCCTCATGACAGCCAGTGAGGTAGATACTATCATTATCCCTATTCTATAGATGAGGAAACAGGCACAAAGAGATAAGTGATATTTGCTTGTGGTCATGAACTAGTGCGTACCAGAAACAGGATTCAGATCAGGTGTTGGGTTTCAGGTGAAAACGTTAGCTCACATTTATGAAGTGTTTGCTACATTCTAAGCATCTTCTAAGCTCTTTTCATGTACTAACATTTTATTTTCACAATACCCCGTGTGGTAGGTGCTCTTATTATCTCCAATTTTACAGATGAGGAAGGTGAAGCATAGAGAGGTTCAGTAACTTCTGCCCAGAGTTACAGAGCTCCTGCTTTGCAGTGTAGTGTTCACGTTCCAACCATGAATTTATCTTCAGAATCTATGTTTTCAGCCACTATAGCATATTGCCTTAACATCATGAAAATGCTGCAGACTGTAAACTCACAAGAGCCATTTGGATTTGGTGATCATGAGATTAGTTCCTTAAATAAACTGTTTCAGTGGTTTGTATATTCATTTAGCAGTCTTTACGGAGAGCCTACTGTGTGTTATGCATCAAGTTAAAGTGTCCGGTACAGAAATGAATAAGATTAGGTCTCTAGGCCACCTTTTCAAATACATATGCCTCTCCCTGAGGTTCTGGCTTATTCCCCCAAATAGGTACATAAGAATTTTGGAGTGAAAGGGAGGCAGTAGCAGGATCAGTGGTTTGTCATTTGCAAAAACTTTTCTAAGGTGGGTTTTGCTACCTCACCTGGGTGAAAACTATGCTAGAGTGAGGAGATGTGTGCCTGGATTGTAGGTGAGGGAGACAGGGTTGAGGAAAGTAAGGAAGGTTTGTTACAGCAGTCAGCGCTGTCAGCATGGTAGCATTATAAGTCAGAAGTGGTTGCCAAGTAGTAGTGAGGACTCGGGAGAGATTAGACAGCCTGATCCATTGACACCTTGCAAATTTCTTCAGCTGTGACCTACCTAGAAGAAAGATGGAGGAAAAAGCTGGGGGATTACTTATGTTGATCTTTCTGTATCCTCAAGGGACCAGAATTTCTTAGTTTCCTCCCCTAAAGAGATATGGAGAAGTAAAGTAGTGCGAGTTGCAGAGAAATGGGTTTGGGATTTCCAGTCCAAGTACTACATAATTTGTTAACTGTACAGTAGTTATAGATCCATTGTTACCATGTTGAACTGGAAGTGTACTGTGTCTTTGGGGCTTGTTGAAAGGTTTTCTTTTTCCCTAATAATCAAGAGAATTGAGTATTGCTTACATTTGCGTTCTACTTCTTACTGTTAAATGAATATGTGAACAGAAAGGTTGTAAGAGTCAGTACATTAATGCTGTTTTGAAAAAACTGCAGCTAGAGTAAGAACTATTGACAAGGGTTTGTAAAATACAGATTTGTATCCAAAAGAATTAAAACACTGAGGTCAAATAAAACAGATATCAAAGTGACATTTCTTTGTCTGAACATACATACATCTCTTCCTTTCCCATTTTGTGTATCTGCAGAAGAGTTCATGGAATGTTAGCCATTAGAAACATTTTCAAAAAACTAAACAAAATTCAAATAGTGACCAAAAGAATTGTCACAGCATTTAAATGCTGTAATAATGGTGACAACTAACACTCTAGAGTACTCATCAAGGACTGTTTCAAATACTTTATCTGTATTAATCCACTTTATCTTCATAATTACTCTGTAAGGCAAGTACTGTTGCCATATCTGTTTCATGGATGTGGAAATGGTGGCACAGGATGATACAGTATCTTGCCCAAGATCACAGAGCAGCCCTGCTCTCTGGCACCACACCATAGTTGTCTTTCTGTCTCAATAGTGATTTATACTATAAAGGACGTTGCATGCAAATGAAAACTACAGAGGAAAGGGTTGTTGCACAGACGTTTAAAAAGAACAAAATAACATTTATTTCTGCTTTTGCTACTACCTATTTACTGTTGTCCCAAATTTAGTTTTTTTCAGAGAGGAGATAAAGTGTGATTTTTTTTTTTTAAACCCCCTATGTTTCTTGAATCAACTATTGGGGATAATGTCAGGTTGTGGATAGAACACTGGAACAAATGTTTTGTTGTTATTTTTGAATGATGGGCAGAGGATTGGTTACCTGAAGTCAGAGTCTTGCCAGATTGTACTTAAAAATGAAAAAATGCCCCTTTCTCTCTCTTATAAATGAGCTAGGCATTTCTACTTATGTCCTGTTTGGGAGCCTTAACGATATGGGAGCCTTACGATATGCATGCCTACTTAGGTTTCTCCCTCCACCCCCAATCCCACTACGTATTGGATCGAAATGGAGGTGTTGGAGAACAGTTGACTCGTCTG